TACACATGCACGGGAAATTACAATATTTATATGAACGGAATACAGCACGCACATAAAAGGAACACACTTTTATATTTTATGTCTACGTTGATAGAACTTCGAGAACTGAAGTAGAACTTGTGGATGTTCATGAACAGAAGCTTGACATCCATTGATCATGGTAAGAAGCTCAGAAAATTTCAAGTTCTACAACGACCACAAGTTCTCTTCAAATGCTCATCTTCAACTTCATTCACAAAATATCACAGAATGTCGTAGTCAAGAAAATGATACAATTTTAAAATGAATTCAGCAAACACAAATCGTTGCAAAGACACACCACACAATACATAAGCAATTGATATATTTCACAAACAAATAAATCGATTACAGTTTATTTCCTTACTGACCTCTCACCCGAAGAATCTCAATTCCAAGAAGGAAGGGAATTTCTTCATTAAATTTTTCGCATGCTGCGATAATTTTTATGTGTTCTCTTATGAACAGATAATGACGAAATTTCATCTGTGAAACGCAGCTTGATTGTAATCTGATTCCGAGGATCTTATCAGATCTTCAGTAAAATCCACAAGTATCACCACCGAATGAAGCTGTTATAAGCCAGGCTCATGTTGATTCTTCTTCAACCGATATCGTTTGAAAATAGTATGAGTTTATCCTCTACATATTGCAGTTACAAAAGTTTGCTACTTTTAAACCAACTTTGAACCACCCAAAATTGTTTGCAAAAAACTATGAAGAGTCGAAATAAACTACTACGTCCAAAGATTTCAATAATTTTTACACACAAATTTTTTGAGTGAGTCTTCTTGCAAGTACTTTTCCCTTTTCAGATTTTAAATCAAATTTACCAACATCAGTTACTAGAATTCATGGTTTTCAGTTCAGTACCAATTCGATACCTCTCAACGAGGACAATCATTTCTCGTACCACATATGTTTCGGTATGAATACGACAACTTACTGAATCAACCAACCAGTACTTTTCCAAAAAACGATTGAGATATATTACTTCCCATATCCCGTACTGTCAGAAAATGCAACTCGGTTTTTCTTCTTCTCAAGTCATGCAGGGAGTTGTTCAATTCAAGTAATTAAATCATTTTCTATATTGCACAAACTTCATGAGTGTTTGTGTTTACTCATAATGTACTTTGTCTTCTTCTGTAAATAATTTGTACGAGAATCTTTTCTTCAAACTTTCTGTAACTGTTTCATTTTTGTCTTATATCTTTAGATGAAAGATCATAATTTTCCTATTTTAGGCTTACTGTAGCAATTATTGTACATTTTTTCTTCGTGTCTATCATTATTTATTTGTTTCTTCTTCCGTTAATTCTCGACAAAAGCTTCTGTTGTTTACATTGCTACGAGTTATTTTAGGTTTGTCAGCACACAAAGTGAACTAATGGATTGTAGTTAAAAACACGTTTTAATGTAAGTGTTTAGTTTGCTTTATCTTTTTGATAGGATCTAATTATTGGTCAGGATATTGGAAATATAAACTAATTTGTTGTAAATTATTTTGTTTAAGAGAAAGCTAGGTAGGATAATAACTAGGTGCAGTTTAATCTTAAAATATTTGTAGGTTTATTTTTGCTGTATCATCCCTCTCCTTGATATTAGAATGTTTGTCCCGCTCTTTCTGACGCACTACCAGAGTAGCGGCTGGGAAAGAGCGGAAAGTTCACAAAATAATAGTGAAAGTTTGAAAATTTTTGATAGTGGTTGAGAAAGAAAATATTAGTGAAAGTTTGAATAATACTTCAGATGTAAAATTGTGATAATGTAACAGAACTGCATACTTCACAATCAATAGAGTTAATTATATGATAATGTGGATTAGATTCACTGAGTGCAGAATAAGAATATTTCAGACAAGAAGAAGGAGTGGAGTTTGATGCTATGGCAATAGCACGTATTTTGGAATTCTCTTAGCAAATAAATTAGTAAGCTTCAACTTTGCAGAATAACTACAAATTGAAGCACCTTTTCTAGATTTATTTTCATTCTCGCATATTTATAATATGCTAAAAATAGTAAGAAGCTTGCACATAACATAGCAACAAATGATCGCATCGTATCTTAATAGTATTAATACTATCAAAGACTCAAAGATTCCGATTGAATTTGTGCACAAATTGGCTTCAACATTTATAAATTTCGAATTTCTAATCCAAAAAAAACATGAGTGAAGATTATTCGTTGATTCTGAGTAGTAAACAGTCAATAATATCTTTTTCTGCTTAATTAAAGCTTGAATTGCAACATATCAAAGTTGAAAAGAAAGGAATATAAGATTTAATAACGAGTTAGCACTAATTTTGCTGCAATCACCATGGGAACCAATATAAGGTATATTAGACAAAATTAGGGTAAGTGTAAATTTTCCTTCCTATCATAATTGAACGTCAGATTCAGTTGAAACTTGACAGCTCCTCATCGAAGTAGCTCAAATTTGCTCAAACTTGATCAATCTCTGCCAAATGGCTTTCTATATAAATCATTGCCTAGAAGCTTTTCGTGATTTATACTTTATAAGACGTTGCTTAATGTGTTTAATGCTATCAAAGCAAGCTCCAGTTTTACACTCAAAGCACTCCGATGTGCAGTTTCTGAGCAAATTGTAGAGGTTATAAATGAAGAATATACTGAAAAATGCTATGAGAAGATACTTTAATATCAATAGACTAAACCTGAATCGACATAAATATTCTAAGAGAATTATTTATAGAAAATGTCACACTTAAAAAGTTATTACAAGAACTAATAGAATCGAATTATTTTACGAGGGCATTAAAGAAATTATAGTTTTATTGAGCAAAATATTAACGGATATCTGCATCCCCCGCATTGCAAGATTTGTATACCGACAAAATGAAAATAAATAACTCAAAAGTAATATTGTAAATTTTGTAAAAAAATTTAGAAATAAATTTGAACACTAGTATAAATTGTGTACTATTACTTCTGATTCACGAATTAATCATCCCAATATTTTCTGAATAACAAATATAGCAAGCGATGGAATAAATAATAATAACAAAAATAGTTTATAGCTGAAGAAACTGAGAACTAAATTCACTAGGAATAATAATTTTGTTCACAACCAAAATAGCTCGGGTCAAAGTAATGGAAACATTTGAGTAAACAAAAATCACTTCTAACAAATGAAACAGAAAGGCAGAACAGCAAATAAGAATATGCTATATTAGATGTGTAAGTAAGAAAAGAGTAGTAAACGAGTCTATTTTGCAAGCCAACGTTGAAGTAATTCATAAACTGAATTTGTTATACCCCATGATAAGAGAGATCTGAAATAAGGGAAAGCAAACTGCATAAACTGAGAGCTTAAAGAATTAAAAAAATTGAAATCAGTTGCTCTCGAAACACCCCAATAAATGAACAGTCATTAATAACTGATGACAATAATCAACCGTATTCCCTACCAATATCTCAAACGGTTAATAATGCGATTCCGGAAGGAAACAGTAGTATTATGGCTCAGAATGTATGAATTATAGTGTGTCATCATCTTCTAATCGGAAACACGGACCAAATTATCTCCTCATTGCCATAAACAATTCTTATCAACTGGTAAGTGAAACCACATACCCTATACCCGAACACCTGGACAGTAACCAATGAGATATTACACAAACATTGCCCACCATTAAATAATTATGATCCTTAATTGAAAATTTGTCATTTCCAACAACTATTCTAAACCATAATAAACTAACTACAGACAGTATCTTATCAGTCTCATCAAGGATTATACGTGATACCTTGTGTAGTTGAGAGTTATTCCACGAAAGAGTTGCCTAAAAGAGCCATTCCGTTCAATCCAAATAACTTGTAAAACAGACCAAGCTGTTAAAAATGGAGTATTAACTGTACTTTGCATTCGCTGCTTAACGACATTCAATGGAAAAAACAATGTTGATATTGAAGCACCAAGTAAAGCACCCGATATAAAATCGCTCATAAATGCCAATAAATTGTCAGATATCCTGAAAACTAATTATTGTTTTGTCTTATCTTTTTTTTTCATCAGCAAAACAATCAGAAAGATTTTGAAACAGACCCACCGACTATTGAGATCTTCGGATATACACTTTCGATCAAAATTAATGACTAAATCACGCAGCGGTTTTCTAAACGAAAAGAATAAAACATTGCTTAACCCATTTCTCAACAATACAAGGCTAAAGCCACGGTACAATTCTTTTGATCCAATCTAAAAAAACAATTAGTTCTTAATAATTCAGATTTAATTACAATTTTAAAGATTATCTATAAGAAAAAGTCATTCAGGAAAAGTGCCAAAATATTTCATAGTTTCAAGTTTTATTTAATGCATGAAAGTCAAAAAAGCAGGAATAAAACCCTTTAAATAATTGGAAATCTTTCAAATCAAAATTTTCACCGAAATACTGAACTCATAACAGCTAAATGTTTCTGAAAATCTAGGATTCTTCAATGAACTGAAACCGCAATTCGAAAAGTAATATTAAAAATTGAATAAACTCTGTTTCGAAATAAATCGAATGTATAAAAATGAAAAATGGAATGAAAAATTTTAAATCACCTTTGCAAGCTCAGTTAATGCATGACCTGTGTTTTGATACTTGTGATTGAACCTGGGTGACTGCAAAAGAACCTGTGTTCGCTCTAAAGGGCATGTAATAGCTTCTACTGCACCTGCTGAAATATTGCTGCGAAATATAAAAAGGCATGTCGGGAAATTCAATTCATGATAAAAATAAAAAAGTTTAAAAAAGGTCTGTACTAACTGCGTAACAGGAAAAATTGCATCATTATTGAATCTCTAACTGATTACTGTCTATAATAAGGTATTAGTGACAAACCCATAAATGCTGCACAAGCAATACATAGTCCATTCTTTAGTGGTGCTTGGCATTCGCAGCAATTAAAATAACGATAAAATTTATCAAACATTCCAAACATCACTGAACGCGTTGTCGTTCGTTGTACAAGAGGAGGAAGTATTCCTCTGTACAACATCCTCCAGCCTTCATTTCTCAGCTGAACTATACAATTTTTTGCAAAGTCACTTATAAACATTATAAAAGTTAATAAAAGATCACAATACGAGCATAAACTGTAATATTTTTTCCCAAGTAGCCAAATGCTATCAATGCATTTAAAAAAAAGCAACGTATCATAGAATGATAGTGGGATATCCAAAAAAGCTTGTTTGAAAACTTATCTTTTTATCACAATTGAATAAATACTTCTGCACATCCTTTCATGCTATTTTTTTAAATATATATAAATAGTAATTGTCATCTTACTAAGCATCAAAAATACTGAGTACAAAACTGGATTTAGACTGACCTGTGCATATACTTCTTTTATTGGAACACCTTGCAATTGTTGGCGAAATATTATTTTATTTTGCGGATACAAAACTACAGTCTCGACAAAACCAGCACCCCAACCAGCGACAAAATTTTCATATTTTTCTTTATGCATTACATTGATGAAATATTTTGTACTGTTATCGTTGCTTCATGTCAACTATAACTAATAATTTTTATAACAAAATGTATCGGTCAACCAAATATATATTATAAAGACACTAATAAAGTGTATTTTCTTGACCGATACAAAAATATATCCTTGGTTAGAGGCAGATAAATCAGATTTGTCCAATACTAATGGATATAGTATCTGCTAATGGGATTGATTACTAATTCTTGACAAGATGAACCTTTGAACTTATACATGATAAAATATAAAAATAGAAAAGATATTTTTACTTGTGTATATCAATGATTTTTTGTATACTTAACTCTCAGTAGCTCATATCATATCAGGCAAACATGAAATCAATACATTCCTCAATTTAGTAAGAATCCTAATCTCGAAAACAGGTAATAAATTACTCATTTCCACGTACACGACCACCTTACTTCATTTTCACTATCTTCAATAAATTCTTGCATCAAATTATATGAACAGCTATTTTGCGGTTGGCCGATAAAGCTATCGGCCTTCCTCTTCATTTTATCGTGCCTATCTGCTATGGCTTGTCCTTAATGACGGGGAAGGGTACTTAATTTATGAACTGTAAGAGTAGTTCGTGGATTAGGTAGCTTGTTTATACTTTACCTGAGTTATATACTTGTGTGGTTTGGAATTACCTCCATTGTTAGCTTCTTTTTCAGCAATTGTCTGCTTAGCTTTGAAAAAGTAAATCTTATAATAGGTAATGATTGAAATAAATCATTCATAGATCAACCTAAAGCCTTATTTGCAATCACACTTGTTTGTTTCAAGTTTACTCCAATAATAACGAGTGAGTTTTGATATGATTACGAATTTAATCTATTATTTCGATTATTAATTATTTTTTGTAAACATTTTTCTTAAATTATTTTATGTGATTTAAATGGTAGAAGTTTACTTTTTTGATATAATGATTCAAATACATCAAGTGACAATGATTGATTCAGGTTTTAAAAAAATTTAGATAAGATTTTCAATTTCCCTCCCATGCTGATAAAAATTTGAATCATCTTCCAACGTACTGTTTTTATTACCATATTATTTAAAATGATGTCTGAAATAATACTGTTTTTTCACTGTAATATAAAATTCAGGAAAATATTTGTAATAAAAGATAATTTCTGATAAGATGAATTTATTTTCTTTGTTTTACTTTACATCTGTTTTAACCAAAAGTAACCATTTTAGGAAAAGTGTTTTTTTGCTCATTTGTGATCAGATCAAAAATGCAAATGTTTCAATTATTATATTTTTAATTCTTATTAATGAATAAATATTGCGCACACATCATTATTGTTTCTTTTGTTTTGTACTGCATAAATTATTCAACCATCTTAAATTCTTTTAAATAAGAGTAATTTCAGATTTTCTTCAAAAAATTTGTCCTAAAGTCACCAAAAAATACAGAACATATAGGAATAATATGTTACTCTGAAGTTAACATATTTGAAAAAAGGATATTATTTAAAAAACGGTTAGATTACTATACACAAGCATAACCTTAAAAGACATTTTTATGATAAATCTAATTTAATATATTAATTTCGTTTTGTAAAGTGTGTAAAATATTACACAGCAATTCAGCACCTTTTGTTAAGGTAGCAAGTCTTGATGGTGAGAGAATACATTGCTAAGATTCAGAAATAAAACAGAGTTATCATTAAATTTAGACAAGAAGTAAAATTGTTCACGATAATATGGCATTATGCTAATCAAAAAAGATCTGAAATGAAAGCAAGTCTTCCATCACAAGCACTTTTTTATTTAGATATCTGAAGACCGGATAGTAACTTGGATATCGTCGTTTCTTGTCCTCTTTGATGACTGTCTACGTCGATTGTTAATCATACACGTGTTTGCAATTCTGAAAAAAAAACACTTTATCAGTTTCAAGACAGTTTTAAGTAATATATTTGCAATTTTTCTAGTAAAAAAAGTGTAAAGTAAAGTTTACTTGAGAATTACTCATGTATCTATTGAATAGACTGCTGAAAATTGCTCACGTGAACATCTAACTGTTGAAAGGGATCGTACTGACCTTATTAGATATGAGGTGGATCTTTGATATCTCGTTTAGTACATGGGTCATCTTCCAAGTAATAGATTGTTATCAATCCGGTTCCTTCATCAGAATCATAGCTTTGCGCAACCTGCAGTATTTTGGGCTAAATCATTTACTTAATCCGGTTTTTGTCGTGAAGAGCTGCATGCTCTTGTATTACTTGATAATTATAGGAAGTGAAGTTTTTGCGAGGTATTACTTTGGTTCTTCAAAGTCTTCTACTGAGTGTACTTCCACTTATCGTCTCAGTCTCGATGGTTGCTTTTCGATCCATTTGCTGAATTAATTTTATCAGTCATCCATCCATCGCTTTTACCATACAGTTGAATCTAATACGGTTGATTGTAGCCTTCTTCGTCATTTGCATATTTTAGTAATAGCATTCGCATATTTAGAACTTATTATAACACTCTTGTCAATATCTGAACTCATCCATTTTCTACGATTAGTTTTCAGCATTCTGCACGAATTTTATTCGAGTGGCCGCATTAAATATATGAGACAAAGATTAACAAAAAAGAAGATGAAATCAGATATAAGGTCAAAGGATATTGTTAGTATTACTCTTTTTATTGTGATTATGTTGTTTAAAATTTATGAGACACTGATTGCTTATTTGGAAAATCATGTTATTATCATTTGATATACAATAAATACTGATTTCAGCTGCTTATTTATTTGTAATTGCAAAATGTAAAAAATGTTCAGTTATAATTATAGTTATAATCGTTAGTGTGGATTAGTGTATTAGAACAGAAGTAAGTTATACTTTCGCTGTTTTTTAACGTGTTGATAAACATAAGAATTGAGTTATTTAATTATTATATTTTCAGAATTTTGCAAATTTCTGCAATTTTTTTCAAAAATTTTTCACTGTGGCTCAATCAGTAAAACGTGTCAAACTCAGCCATTCTGTTATGAATAAATTAAAAGCATCGCAACGAGACAAGGTTAGTTATATATATAATTGTGAATTTTTTCAAAAAATTTCAAATAGTAATTAGAAAAAAATTTCAAAAAAGTTGCAAAGGGATTTATTTTTTCAAATTATTCTATCTATTATCAGCTTTGGGTAAAATTGCATTCTTCATGTCAAGGTTTCTGTTAACTGCAAGCTCGATATCTTTCTTCAAGTAGTGGGACTAGAAAACTGCAAATAAATTGATCATCAGTAAAATGTTGGGTTGTTGTCACATGGATAATCAATCGCGTTTAAGCTTTTCCCTTCAAAAAATTTATGAAAATATTGTAAAGACAAAGAGCATAATTGTAAAGCAAAAAGTTTATGAAGAAATTGCGTGAAGTGACTATAAATTTATAAATCTGTACGGTACAAAAAAAAATTATAAACTGTCTAAGAATTGATCTTCACTGCATTAATACTGGACAATAATTGTTCTTTTAAAAAAAATATTAGATTTCATGACCAAAAAAACAAATGGATACATTTTTACTAATTGCATACACTGTTTGGGATTACTTGATCTGCGGATTTAAATAATCTTTTCCTTCTATAGAAACTTTTAGAAAGATATCAAGCGCCAAAACCTAGGGATAATTTGATTCAAGAAACACTCAGAAGATTTATTGTATTTTATCTTAATTCACTTTGTAAGACAAATTGGATGGACTTCACCCAAATTACATATGAATCTTCTATTTGTTAATAATATCTCTTGATTAGTATGAGCAGCTCTTTTAAATTCAATTTGTGGTAATTTTCTTTCTCAAATGCTTCGGAATCGGTTTACTTCTTTCTGACGATAATGATATTTGATTTTAACATTGCTTTTATAGCACATAAATTTAAAATTTGAGGTGCGGAATTTTATTCAGTGGACTCACAGCAATGAAAAAATAGCAATCCAGTGTCTGAGCAGTCAGAATTGGAATTTGGAATTGGCGTGTGATGCTTATTACCAAAATCCTCATTTGTACATCTGTATGGCAGATTTAGTGGATCACAGAAGTCTTCATGCTTTTTTTGTCAAATATGCAAATGGTTTTGCTTCATTTCATTTATTAATAATAATTATATACAAGAAATAATGTATACATTTAGATTACAAGTAGTATTTATTATCTGACGAAAATAGTGAAATAGAAGCCAAACTTGTTCCTTTTGCTAAATTATATTTATATGCAGACAGAAAAGATAATGATCCGTCGTCTATTGGTCCTCACGGAATGCTACGATTCCTGACGGATCTTGATTTGGATGCAACTGATCGAAATGTTTTAATATTAGCTTGGAAACTGAAAGCGAAAACACAGTGCGAGTTTACTTGGGATGAATTCAGTACAGGTCTCATTGAGATGGGGTATTTACTAAAAATTATTCAAAGAAATGACCTTTTTTATGATTTGTGTCAAAATTGAGGTAATTGATGAAATGTATAGTTTTTTTGAATTCTATTTTTTATACATAAAAGAATTTTAATAAGTAAATTAAATGATCCAATTTTCACGTATAAAATATCTGTACTGAGTGAGTTACCATTAAGAGTCAAATATTGTGTTTTGAAAATTTTGCTCATGAAAGAGTTTAACAAGCTAATTTACAACTGAGCGAACGATATTATCGTTCAGCGTAGATTCACTGGAGAAACTGAAGGCCAAGATACCTACGCTAAGCGATGAAATCAGGAATCCTTGCAGTTTCAGAGATTTCTACCAATTTACTTTCAATTATGCTCGCGTCTCATCTCAAAGAACTCTAGGTTAATTGAATAGAAATAGTATATCATGTCCAATATTTCAAATATCCGTTGTGTGTTTTGCTGTCACTTCAAATATTATGTATTACCTGCATATTGTGTCGGAAAGGCTTGTCCGAAATTATTTAAAGTTTCTTGATGTGAATTAGAGCTTTAAAAAAATTTGTCTGTATTTGTTTAGAGGAGTTATAAATTTATCAGCAAAGGAGTGTCTATAGGGCTGTTACGCTAAATCTCTCGTGATTCCGATTTCATATAATTTTAGATGTTGAAGTCGCAATTGCTTATTGGCAGATTGTATTTGGTGGCAGTTTTGGTTATCTTTCTTTATGGATCAATTTTCTTCGAGAAAAGGTTGGAGTTTCCCCTCATTTCAATTATTATATTACTTCGAATATCATGTATTACATTCATATTGTGTTGGAAACCTTTTAATCAGCTCTATTTTCTTTTCCTTTAAAAATTTTTTATTTTGTTTTCATTACAGGACGTTAAAAGTATATCGCGTGATACGTGGAACTTGTTACTTGATTTTTCTTTAACAATTGCTCCGGACTTAAGCAATTATGATACAGAAGGAGCGTGGCCTGTTTTAATTGATGAATTTGTAGAATATGCAAGAAATAAAATAGATTCATGATTAGGATAGTTCTTATTTATAATAGTTTTCATTGGTCATTGTTGGTTTTGCGACCTTTTTCAGTTAGTTATAGAATATTATTAGTATTGTCTTGAGCATGCATTATATTAAAAGGTCTGGCAAGTTCAACAAATGTCCATTTATTGACGTGTACATATTTTGTGTTTTTTTTCGATCATTGTTTGTTTCATTTTGCCACCCAGATGTCTTTGAAATTGCAGTATTCTTATACATTATTTTACTTTTATTAATTGATCATCAATTTAAGATAGTTTTATCAATACCACTTGTTTGCAAAATTACGTTGGATACTATTTTAAGCACAGTACACAAGGTTGAATGTGGGGATTTGAGTCAGTGAAGGTGCCCTCCGAACATTTATCTGAATGTTGCAAGTTTTCCAATGCCTGTTTTTTTCAGTTTTGGTAACATTTTGCAGCCATTTTTCACTGAATAGATATGGGTCATGAATGGGCTTTTTAGTCAAGAATTTCAGTCTAAAAAAGTTGATATTTTTGGTCTGCTTGCTTATGATTTGTGACAGATTGTTTTCTGCATGTGAATTGAATTGGTTTGTTAGTAGCACTAATCCACGGAGTTTCTTTATCATCAGTTCTTTCACGTTTATTTCTCATATTTCTAAAATATTTCCATTAATCAGCGTTTGTATTCATTTCATGTAAGTTGGATGGAATGGCTAAACGTGCTTCATTGACTCCCTTAAAAACATTGAGATTGTAAGGAGCATTTTAAACAACAACTGTGATGTATTTTGAATTGATGAATTTTCCTTTTGTTTTGTTTTTTAGGGATTACATATTTTTGTATTACTCCATAATTCTAAAGCTTTTGTACAATGAATTATTGCTGCTGTGGTTTGGGTTATTGTTCGTTTATCACCACTGTTTATATTTGAAAATAAGGGTGAAAATGTACCATTTTGTGTTATCATTCGCATTTAATCAATAAAATTTTATTGATTCGCACCGAAAAATCTAGACTTGACCAAATGAATAGCGAATTCCAAAATGGAGATAGTGGTAAAAATGTGATCTGGGGCGTTTTTACTTTAAAGGAGAATAACCTTTAGTCAGTTACTGCCATTTACACAATGTTTCCGGATATAGGATTTTACGGCATGTTTATGTGAAGTTTTGTGCTTTCCCAGAAGCACCATTTATTTATTGATTTGAGGCATGGCATCTTAGGAGCACGAAATGTCATCGGGTAAGTTTCCATTTTCATATGAAAATGTGAAGTAGGACTAGTACTGTAATTAGGATGATAAGTAAGTGATTCAATCGTTGAAATGTACAGACTTGGAACAGTAATTATTTGAAATTAAAAGCTTGATAGTATTAATTTATAATTTGCGATATTATACATTTTAATTCTCATAACTTCTCAAGAAGCAAGTCAAAGTAATGATGTTTATAAAGTACTTCTTTATCGGTGAAGCAAAATTGGTTTTGTTCATTAGAATTTTGAAAACTTTAATTTGTATTTTTTATGAAAAGTAATAACTTAGAGGTGTTTAGCTTTTCTAAGGCTTGGCATAGCAGCAATTATGGATAAATATATTGAAGTAAAACTGGCTATCCATTTTAGAGCAATCGGAAGTTGTTCTTTTCGTTGAAAAATGTTCAATATTTAGTCGTTTATTTTTTGGAAGTAATATTTAGAAACTTGAAAATTTTATATTTATAGCAAAAACTTTAGCTTATTCATTAATTGTAAGCTCTTATTTCTTATTTTGAGTAATTGTAATAATATTATTTAATTAAAGAATTAATTATTATTTCTGGAAACCTTTATGCTGACAAGCAATTAGTAATACTTATATCAGTTCTAAATTTCAGTATTGTTAAAAAACTTTAAAGCTCGAGCGCATTTTCAATCATATGAAAATTTAATTTGGAGATTTAAGAAATTAAAAAGAAAAGATTATTTAAAGTGTAAGCTTGTATTTTATTAATTTGAAATGATATAATAAAAGCTTTAATTTTGAATAATTTTTTTACTTTGTACTAAAACAGAAGTGTACATCAACAATTGTTTTTTCATCAAATTTTTTATTATTTCGAATTTGCATAATTTTTTTCAGGATAAATTAGTTTAGCTTCATATTTAATATTTTCTGAAATGAGCAATTCAGGCAGTGGCCAAGAATTTGCACCACAACAATCCTCTTATGGCCCTAAGTATTTCATTTTTTTCTCACTTATACTTTTCACATTCATTTAATTTAAATTTTTTATTATTCAAATTAATTACTGCTATATTTGAATACCTGTTTGGATTATACAGAACCTGTATCAATTAATATTTATACTAAAACTTCTACATAATATATTTTATGAGCTATTTAGATGAGTTGAATTTAAAATATATTTATTACTTTGTAACCTTATAACTAAACTCTGCAATCTGAACTCATTCAAATAGTTCATAAAATATATTATATTGAAATTTTGGTACTTACTACCTGATGTAAATTTGCTTATATGTTAATAACTTGTACTAAATCGCTTACTTAGGTATGGTCCTTTGTTTATGGATTATTTACAAATGGAAGATGAAGATCTGGATGTTTTATCATTTGAATGTTATTCATTTGAATCTGAATCACAAACTTATCCACATTTACATCGTATAAAACCAATGAAATTATTGTATCATCTTAAAGATCATACCGTATCCCTAGTCGAACCACATATTCCAAATAATGGCATTTTAAAGGCAATATTGTTGCTTTGCATACATGGCATAAAGTATATTCCATTAGAGAAGTTAAATGATGCAAAATGCTTGAAAATATTACTTCAATTCAATTTTGCTTTTGATTTATATTTATCTAAAACTTTTATTTATTATTCAAAAAAAAACATTTTTAACGTTTAATTTTACGTTTAACTTTTAGAGTCAAATTTTTACTCATCAAAAAGTACTGAAATTAAATCCAAATCACAATCATAATTACTTGCACTGGTCAGATTTGAATGTTGCAAAAAACGTGAATCTATTTTCTAAAGTGTACAGGATTACCGCCTGTGATCATCATACAAGGGTTTGTTGGTTTATCTACCAATCTTTGTAATATTGTTTTTAAAATATTGTATAGACGGTAGTACTGTAAAGATAGTAATTATTTATCTAGTACAAAATATATTGATAATTGCTCAATGATTCTAAGCCTTACAGGATTTTCTATCTAAAAATGGAATCGAAGTGAACGAAGAAGAAGAAATTCCAATGGATACTTTAATTCAAAATCATGATGTACAACAAGTTTCTAGTAGTAATGAAGGTGACAAGAATTGTTCAAATTATGAGGTATTGTAATTAAGTTTTTGTGTTTTCTTTCATATTTCAATTTTACTTTGTTAGAGTTATTTTAAAATTTTACATTTAAAAGAGTTAAGTTTACAAATTGAAACTAATATATTTTCAATTCTTTCGTTTTCTATTATTAGGCATTTTAATTCAAAATTTCGTTTACGAGATAATTATTTTTTAAATTTGCATTTTTAAAACTTTGTATGCAAATTTTTGAAGTATTAAAGGAAGTGAATTATTCAAATGCACCAAATAAATTGCATCTGTTAGCTTGTTGGTTAGATAATGGTTCTGTTCGAATATTTCATATGATTGTACATACTATTGATGATACGGTTGCTTTGGTGGAAAATATTGCTGGACTTAAGGGGCAACTTTTTTTAAAACGAAATAGACTGCCTTGTGTACCAAAAGGTCATAATTAAAGGTTTTTCCCAACTGTCTAAAAATTTTGCACAATTTGAGTAAACTTTTCTTCTTGACTACTTTTAACAAATACATTATATTAGGTTTTTATAAAATTTTTAGATGGGCGACGATTTTACCGTTGTGATCAGATTCGTCCTGGCCTATGGATAGAAGTTTATACCAGGCCTATGTTTATTTTTAGTTGTGAAGGTTCAGAAACACGTAATTTCTTAGCACGTTTTGGACCTATTGATTTCAAAGATTATGAGAAGGTGTATTTCTTATTTTAGTCAATAAATATGACATGAATACGATAATAAATATTTAATTTAGTACGCGTGACATTTTAAAATGATATTAAAATAATTCGAATTCAAATTCAGATTCTTCTTGATGGACCATCAAAAATTAATGAAAATCCGGCATCAGAATTGAAATTTATAGCTGCAATGGTCAGTTAGTACTTATTCGTAGTCTTCACTTTTTAAAATATTATTTCAATATTTCCAAAGTTTTAAATGATTATGCAGTCGGTACTTGATAATACTAAAATGAAGTCAAAATTTTAAAACGGTCTTGGATAGAAGCTATAATTGATTTCAGGTCGGAGGTAAGGGATTATTTGAAGATATGAAATTTCTTGTAACAATCCATGTTGACAAACAAGAACTGAGCATTGCTGAAGCAGATCAAGCTCAAAAGTGGCAAGGTGGACGGATTTTTTTGGAAGGCATTAACGCAAATACTTATAGGTTAATCTTTTATTTATTTTCAAAATTTCATGTATATTTTCAAATTATAATTTAATAAATAAACAATTTCAAAGATTTTAAGTACTGATTAAAATGCAATATATTTAGTATGGAGCAGTACAAAATTGGTTCTATTCTAAAAGTTTATCGATGGAGATTTCGTTTGCTTGAAGCTGATGACACAACGCAACAATATTTATTCTCAAGAAAATCGCAATAAAAATTTTGATCAAATTTAAAGACACTTAAAAGGTAAATATTAAATGATATAACCTTTAATTTTCACGTGATTTTTTGTTTTTCACTAATTTATTTGAAAATTTAAAACTGTGGAAGAAATTGAAATTATGATAAGTTCTTTCACTACAAGATTATAATTAATGCTTTATTTAGAATAGAGAATTTTTGCATAAAATAAAAAAGGCGGAAAAACAATATTATTGTTGCGTTATGACTTGCTATTGTTGCATTTTATTCAAAAATCCAATCGTTTGATGAAGATGATCTTCCATCACTGCAATTACAATAATTTTGTTTAAAATTTCATTTAAAAAAAAGTGGTAAGTAGGAAAAAAAAATGGTTATTACAATATTTTATTTAAAAAAAAAATCAGATTTATTCAAGCCATACGTATTACTTACTTATTACTTCCGTGAGTTAAATTAGTAAAACCGACAACGGACGTGCCACGCCAACGATTTCTTTGGTGTGCAAAACATAAAATTTTGTTATAATACGATATCATTATGATGACAGCAACTAGCAAAATCAACGCTACACCAAAAGTAATACGCAAATGATTTGATCCTTTCCGATCATCGATATACTCTGTGCTTCTCAATTTATTACCTATAACAGTAATAAATTTAACTAAAAACGCATCTAATCAGAGTTGCAACAATTCATTTGTTGAAATCGTACGTAAAATGTAATTATACGTATGCAAATTTTCTGGAAATCTTAGATTTTAATTTTGATTGGGAACTTATTATAAAAGTTTGACGTTATTGATTCCAATTTCTTTTATTATCTTAATATTCGAAAACTGAAATTTTGAAAATAAATTAAGTTACCAGCGGTGTAATATATAACAAATCCTTTACTGGTAATACTAATATCTGTTTGAAAGTAGATTGTCATTGTTTCAGCGCTACTTTCCAGTAATTCAGTAAATATTTCAACTCCAGTAGCACTGTAAAAATATTACCCCATTAAGAATCAATTATAAAAATAATATATATATGCAGAAATTATGGTACCACCGGTCAAATACAGTGTTTTACTGTATTAAGTAACATGATAAAATAATATAAAAGGATAACTGCGAATAGAAATGTTTACTGTGTATGAAAGCAAAAGTATTATAGAACAAACAGGCTAATTTGTCGATCAGTAATATTAGATCCATCGAAAATAGTCAAAATATCTTCATTTGGCTCTAAAGCTAATTCGGTAATATTCAGTAAAACATTGCATCCCTCAGGTGCAGTGATCAAATACTGACATTCCATCAGATTACAGTAATGACTTGGATAATCCGGTGAAGTCAATTTTTTCCATGTACCCTTTTCTGCGTAAAGTTGGGGATTGCCACATTCACATACTTAATTACACAATAAAAATAAGCAATTTTATCGCAAATTTTACCGAAAAAAATCGTGATTTTATAGTAATTTTACTAAAATTTGCATTATTTTTTAGCAAAATTTGAATTACTTTCCATTCAACGTTCGTAAAAAATGACAATAACTAGTATAATATAACTTTCTGAACAGAAACAAAAACACAAGAAAGTAATTTCCCTCGCACAATTCAATTTCTATGAAGTTTAAGTAAATTAAACATTCAAAGAGGTTAATTCTCGAGATTATCTAAGAAACTGAATAATAAAATGTGAACTTTTTCTCCATTCATAGTTGAAATTCAACTGCGAGATTTGTTTATTAGAATCAGATGCCAAGTGATACCAAATCATCAGAGGTGAGTCATTTATTATCACTTTAGTATCATTTAGAAGAAATGTCCCATCGAAGCTTAATATTCTTCATGATAATTTTTTGATTATACAGAGCAAATAATCAAGTAATTTTTTATTTCATATTTACATCAATTACTTCTACTTTTTATAGTGAAAAAGACGTATGTGATTTCATTTAAATATTTAAAATTAATGCTAAATCAGTTTAAAATCAGACTTGTGTACTTGAGTACTTGAAATGATTCAATTAACTTAAATTTGTATTACATTGCTTGAATATAATTCAGATTTTTCGTATTGCTAATGTTTTGCTTTCAAATTACAGACCTAAAATAGAAACTGAAAATGAACATACACAGTGATGTCACGTTCGTGAACATATGACGGAATAATATTGTAATTGTTGATGTTTGTTAGCACTTCTAAGAATTCTTCTGCACCATTTTTAAAAACATAAGTCAAATTTAGTATCAACCTTATCCGATCCGAATCTAAGACCTAAAAAATATGCATTTTTACTGATTAATTGCTCTATTTTTCAGCAATAGTTAAGCAGTTGCAGCAACTTTAACTTAATTTCTTGTATACTATTAATAGCTCATATTATGTTACCAATTTTCAAATCTTTTTTTGCGCGCTGATCTATTTTTATAGTCATTGATTTATTTCAAATTGACTTATATGTGATTACTATATTTTTTAAAAACGTTAAAAATTAGCAATTTATTTTACTTACGTTTGTGGGACGATTGAACTGAAAAAAGCAATCAAGAAAACCACAGTTGGCAGGCGATATAAACGTAAATGTTGCTGTTGGCGATGAGAATTCAAATGGTTGAACTATACCTTTGCAACGACAATCTTAACATTCAAAAATTTACTTTTTTCATTTCATCTATTTTGACCTTTTATCACATTTTGACCTTTGTATTTATTCGCTTCCTAAGTGCCAATCAATGAGTATTCAAAATCATTGCGTGAATATGACATTTATAAGCTGAACATTATTTTAATTATTATATAATTTAAACTGTAACCTTCTTCTTTTTTGATAGCACTAATGGACAAATTGAATCCTTTACGTACAACTGTAGAATCAGTGATTAGACGTAGCTCAGCGCTCTCTCCATTGAATGTGAAAAATCTGTTACGACTGCTTATTAATTCGCCTGTATAGCTACAAAAGTTTGCAAAAATTATTTTCAGTAATGCATTTTTGTGCCTGCCAATTGCAATTTTCTAATCCAAACAATAAATTTAAATTAATGATGACATCCGGAATATTTGCAGATGCTTTATATAACTAAACAACTGATCATATAAAGTGATAAAAACAACAATAAAAATCACTGATAAAAGTTTGCAATTGTTTACACAACTGAGCTACTGATTTACCCTTCGAACAGTAATCAAAAAACATTTTGAAAAAACCGTAATAATTATATCACGTTAGTTTAGACGTATCTGTATCAGTGTTTTTTTTTAATTACTCAGTAAGTTCGATTATCCACTGTTAGATCAGTCAATGATCAATCATAACAAGTAATCAGAAGATGAAATAACGTAAGTTCTTACTATTAAATAGTTGGACTAAAATGTACACGTTAGCAGCGTAAAGAAGTCATCCATTAATGGTGTAGAGAAAATACAAACTAGAAATACAAAGTAAAATTGATTTAAAGTGAATTTTTGTACCTGATAAGATGCTTGGAAGAATGTTTCCATTTGTCAAAGAAGTGTAAAAAGTCAGAGCCATGTTCTAAACTAAACGTGTGAATTTCAATTATTATCGTGTTATGATAAGTTGCATCGATAGTGTAGAGATCGAGCTTAAGCTCTGTTTCACAGTCAAGTTTATCACAATATTCTAGAGGAAATCCTGGGGAAGTTAACCACGTTACTCTATCACTTTGTATTGTATGGCTTCTTGGAAAACACTTGCAAGCTAAACAATAATTCTTAATAGTTAACTTGAATCAGCATAAATTTTTAAATCACTTATTGAAAGTAACAATGTGTTTTAAATAAGCTGTAATAAAATAAAGCAATTACGTGCTCAAAAACGTAAGATATAATAAAAATAATAACGTACTGAAAATTATTGCAAATGAGCTCAATTTTTAGAATTTGCTAGTAAATATGATTAATAATGATAGAAATTTTATTACGTAAAGAAAATTAAACAAAGAAAAAATAATTTTTAAGGAAATTAATAAAAAATTACGACTATCAATACGACTGTACTCAGCTTCGAATAAAAATTTGCTCTTTTCTGCTAATAACATCGTATTCTGTTGTCGTACTACTACTTGTATAAGTATGGAATTCGTACGTGAAACTATTTCCTTGACAGCAATATCCGTTAATCGTGTACTTCTTTAACAGTGTCAAATTATTTAAAATAAAAGTAATTGCTAAATTTCTTAAATGAGAGATTAATTTAATCTTATTAAATATCATTAAAATCCCACGGCACATTTTTATTTCATTAATTAGTCATCGTCAAAGTCAATTTCAATATTAACTATATATCTAAGTGAAAATATACAATAATACTTACTGGAAGAGTGGAGAAGCCATATTATTTCTTCTCAGGTTATAGTTTTCCATTTCGTATACGGTAAATTTTGTTACAGTAGCAAGGGATTTAAGCTTTAATTTCACACCATATCCATCGGTAGTATTCAATAAATATGTGCAACCAGCGGAATACATAAAATCTATGGGCGGACTGGGTAGAGATCTCTCTTCACCTGTGACCTCGTAAAAAAATACCGGACAAGAATTCTCTATAATTTTACTCATTTTGTTTTAAGATTAAAGTTTAAAGTTCATTCATTACAGCTTATTTTTTTTGCATAAAATTAGACAATATACATACAAAAATTATTAATAATAGTGGAATACGTGTAATTGAAAATAATAAATTACTGCTAACTGTATTGCAAGACTTTGAATTCATTTTTATTCAATAAATTAAATTCACTTCTTTACAACTATAAACTTCTTAACAAGTTTTCGTAAATTATTAACGGAACATAAAGAAAAAATAATGGATGGAATCAAATTCTAATCCAATAATAATTATTACCATAAAAATTAACTTAATTAATGAATTAATTCATAAATGCATTTACTTGGTGAAACAGTAGAAATTCTGGTGAACTGAGCGTGAAAGCCGCCAAATGTTTCAGTACTATCAGTAATAAATTTCAATATAAATCCACATCCTATTGAGGAGGCAAAAGTTGGCCAGTCAATGTCACGTCCCGACAATCTAAATCCCAGTAAAAAAACGTAGTTTTTAAGAAAATACAAAGATTTAAAAGTCATGCATATCTTGATTTGCTACATTTTAAGCAAAGTAATCTTCATTTTTACTCATTAAAACTATCCCATAAAATTTATCATATCGTTATTTCAATTAACGATCACTTAAGGATGGCTTTAAAAAACTGTGATAACAGAAAACTGATATAACAGTTATGTTCGAAAAGCTTTGATTCTTGAACATACTTTACTATAATTTATTTGCATATGTATGTTTGGAATTACTGAAAAACTTAGCAAAAATTATAATTTGTACAATCACTAACTGTTCTATTGTCACTGAAATATGAAGCGAAAAAGTAATTAATCACGGGCAAAATACTATTTGTAAACAGGTAAAAGTGAAAATCATACGTGAACTTACGTGATGATTGGAGTAGAATGTTGAATATTTGCAAAGATGAATGTTTGATGAATTTCAAGATAGTCATGTTGTTGCTCAGTTTCAAAAGAATCTATGACTAAATGAACTGATTCATTCAAAATTGCATCTATCTAAAAGAAAATTTTTAAATGAATTTTCTATTCTTTTAAAAATAAAAATTGCATAATAGTCATTAAAATTACCAGAAATATTACTATTTACTATCATTTTTCTTTCAAAAAAATAAACTTATTTTTTCAACAAACATTTTCATTTATTCAATTTAAATATAACTAATCTTTTATTCAAAAAAAACTTTTAATTATAAATTTGAAATACTTTAAAAGTAAAATAATATTTTAGAATTTAAATTTGCAAGCCAAAATCTTGACTAGTTACATTTAAATTGAATAATTTGAAATTTACTGTAATAAGCAGTAATTCTGCAATGTACGTACAGTTTTATGTGATTTTTATTTTTGAATAACTAAATGTAAAAATATTACAAACATATTTACAAACTGGATAAACAAACAAACCTCATACTTACAATTAAGATTGCTACAATATTTAATCGGATAGCCTGGACTTTTTAACTCTCCTTTTGAAATATCAATACCAAAATTCACAGATTGGCATTCACATGAATTTGTTCTGTTGGCTTCTGCACCTGAAAGTTTTATCTACAACAAAATTTTTGTTCACTTGAATTTTTGTACATTATTATCAAATAAAGTTTAAGTTTCCATTTTTTTAAAATAAAATTCTGCACTATAATTTACAATTTAAAGATGACAGATTTAATAAGCAATTTAAATTTAAATAACTATCCCAACAAATTCTTCTCTTCTCAATTGTTTATTTTAATATCATTATTTTTTAAATTGTTAAATGACGCATTTCAGTATTTAAGTAACAAGTAAGGTTTCTAATATTTACAGATGGATATAATCAGATATAATCATACCGATGATAGCAAAGAAGTAATAAAAGTATGTGATGAGATATCTCGACAATTGACAGAAGTAATTCATCGATGAAAAACAGACAAATTTTTGTTCAAAAAATCAAAAGTAATGATCATAGAGACTGCCTTCTAGAGGGAGTGATAATTTGGAAAATTTGCATAGTTTTCACCGTTTAGTGAAATGATCTACGGGAGTGAAGGCCCTGATCGAATTACATGCACCCATGAAGGCTGTTTATACATCTCAGTATAAACATTGACGTAACAAATTAAAGTCCATCTCACTGCACGAAAATTCACTTTTAATTTATAATCAAATATTACTTTTTGCAAAAATTTCATACTTGTTCATTCTATATTGAAAAACTCAATCATAAGCTATCCACTGCATGCAAATAATAATAATGAACCTCTTCACAAAAGGGAAGAATCATGCCTCCTCACGCCTTTACTTGCTCGTAATTATTAATAAGAATGGTTTAAAATGCAATTCTTCAGAATGCATGTACTGCTATGCAAAATGTTATAATGCTTGCTTGTTCATCAACGTGGCTGAACTGTATGTGACAACCATTTTCAGATCACTTCACGTAGTCCAACTACAGCTAACTAAACAAAACCATTCATGAAATGAACACAAGGATTATAATCCCTACCTACCAGCTATCCAACCTAACAACAATTCTCATATTACATTTCTCTGTTCTCTTTTTTCGCAAATTTTCACACAGTAACTTTATTTAAAATTAGTAAACACAAATTCATAAACAGTGAAGGACAGAAATGAAAAAAAAGAAGACATGAAAGAAATATCAAGGCACGCAGAGAATGAAAGTAGTAAAGGTTGAAAACCCATGAAAATTTTTGAAGTAACCCGCAATACCAAAAGTAATCAAAATGAAACAAAATAAATACTTTGAAACAATAATATTTTGTAAGTCACAAACAAGGTTAAAACAGAAAATATATGAACCTAATAAATATGAGCGATCCACACCGGAGAAAATGAAACAAAATCTAAACTGTTGAATGGCACATAAATCGCAAAACTTGAATTTTACACACAAATTATGTCCAATTATAAGTTATCAGGAAAAATCAACGTTTCACTTAATATCCTAACAATATTGTATATACTGAAAATAATTTAAAGCATCATATATTGAAAAATAGACAATGAAGTATTGTAGAATTATCTGCTTGCAAAATTCACTGTATGTTTTGCTTGATTTTTGATACAGGACTCTATGAATGTCCTGAAGTATTAAATTTACGTCTTATATTGAATAAAATGCTGAAACTCACATTAATGCATACCAAATATGGAACAATTTGAGCCAAATATTATATCCCGGTAACAGTCTCAACATGACAATCAATTACAAAAAGTTTTGCAAAAAAATCCTATCCATTTCATAAGATGATTCCTAAATTTTCTAAAAAAGCACGATTTCATGAATTTTTTATGGATGGATACATTGAGCATCTTGTAAGAAAATGTACAACGATAAAAAAAACCTAAACATCCCAGACTTCTTCAACTGAAATTTGTCGCTTGCAAAATTCTCCATTACTATCGGTAGAAATAACGATAGGATCACTTGATAAAGTAATAGATGGATTAGATACAGTGGAATATACATATTTACTCTCAGGAAATGTTACACTATAACTAGGTGGTATAGATATAGGTCGCGTATAGCATTTCGGGCTCATATCATACATTCCCTTCGCATCAGTGCAACTAAGTGCTGCACCATTTCGATCAGCGAATATTTCCTCTTGACAAGATGAGGAGTGTGGGAATATAATTGAAGCTTTCCTAGAAGGAGTAGCACTTAGAGTTGAAACAACTGCTGTATTCTTATCGCTGTTCAAGTCGAAAGACAAATCAGATGATACAGGATGACTATTTGCGGAATGGAGATGCCTGTCATTTGACAACAACGCTGTCGCTGAATTTGCTCTCAGATGTATATGAGCAAAACCAGAAGGTGTCCCCGAAGATGTGCGTCCGTGATGCACGCATCTAGAAACAAAATCTTAAAATAAAAGCAGAGAGACATAAAGATCACACTTAGTACTGAGAGAGCATTTATAAAATTATACAGAATATTTTGTCACATATTTTATAGAGCTCGCAAATTCAAATAACACCGAAAAAAAACCCATCCTGATTGATTTTTTCTATTAAAATTCTGAACCAAATTCTGCAAACTGCTGAACATTTATTATTTAGTGCTTTTTAAAATTTGTGCTTTGAAATATAAATTTAAAAAAATACCGATTACGAGAACGTTCGTTTGTGAAACAACGTCTATCAGCAATTTTTAAACGCATCTGCTCCATACGTGCCATGTCTTCTCGAAATCTGCACATAACATTGCAGGCAAATTTGAATAACGTTAAAAAAGAGACACTAAATGATTTTTCCTACGAAATTTTGAAATCGAATTTTGCAAACTATTAAACATTTACCAAATCATGACAACATACCTTCGGTTATCACCATTTCGAATACGATCAATTTCTCTTTCGAGAAGACTCGTTCGGCTTTCCGAACTTTTACGCTCATCTTCAAGCTTTTCAGAGAGCCTTTCTTTCTCCTCAGTTAATTCAGCTATTTTACGGTCTTTTTCACTTTTTTCTTCCTCCATTTTTTTCAGTTTTCCAGATCTTCAGAAATATAACACAACATTAGATTGATAGACAAATCACTTATTTTTTTAAAACGGACAAAATCACAAAGCAGGAACTAACAAAGTATCCGATTGTGTTGCTATTGCCATTTTATTTCGCTGCATTTCTTCATGAAATTTCGCTTCCAATTCAATCATATTCTTTTCTAGCTGAGCGATCATATCTTCTATACATAAAGTTTTGAAAATAAAATAACCAATTAACGAAGAAATATGTAACAGATTTTATTTTTCTGAATGACAAAATTTGAAGAATACCAAAGTAATACTCTTGATATGCTGATAACTTGAAATGTAAGAGAACCTTTTGCATGAAGAGATTTTTTGAGTTTGGATAACTCATCATTTTCTGGATTTCGCGCACTAGAACCCTTTTTGACTCCAACTGAAACGCTTTCTTTAGCAAGCTGCATTTTTAACTGTGCATTTTCCATCTCAAGGTGTGCTCTTTCACGGTTCCACTCGTCTTCTCTAAATCGCTTATCAAATATTGATTTCTGAAAACAAATACAAAATTACTCTGTTTCAAGACAGGAAGAATAAAGTAGAAGAGTTTATGAATTAGCATGAAATGTGAAAACTTCGACAGTTTTTTGCAGTGATTCAGCTCTTTCCACTTTTTCGGTCAGTTCTTCAACTTCTTTTTCTTTTCTTAATGCTTTTTCTTGAGCGTTTCCAAGAGCTTTCTCCAGTATCTTAAAATGGTACGGATGATTTAATTAAAAAAAAGATCAACTAAATCAGAAAATAGCGAAGAAAATAATAAAATCAAGAGACCTGAATATGATTCCTCTGGTCTTTTAAAGTCACTTCTAGAGCTTCAATGTCCATCTTCTGACGCTCTTTGCAAATCAATAGTTCTTTGTCTGAAATTGAATACACTTGAACACATTACTGCCACAAATATACAATTTATCGAACAAAAATCAATGTAAAGGAACAAATCAAATTTTTGAGAAATAGCATAACTAAAATTGAATTTATTTTGACAACTTTCAAGAGTAAACAGTATTCTTTAAGAGTAACAGGCTTTTATTCGTGGAGACAATATAAACAAACTTTGTGGAATAATTTCGTTTAGCAACAAATTAAGCTTATTGATCTGTTCTGATTGATCTTCCATTTGAATCCTTCTTATTAGTTCAGCAACTTTGGCCCGTAGCATCTCGTTTTCAGAAGCATATCTATTGCAAAAAATGACGACTAAACCAAAACAATTAAAAACTGTTTACAATACTGATACAGAAATGGGCAATCAAAACTAATAAATATTTGCAGCGTTGATAAATATAAGCAGAATTAACACATCATTTAAGAATACATGTACCTCGTTATTTGTTGTTCCATTTTCACACGTGCTGCTTTCTCCAAACTATCTTGCCTTTCCTTTTGTGTCGTTAAGTTCTCATATTCCTTTTCAATAGTTTCGTAGGCTTTTTCAAGCTGTAAAACGATGATTATTTCTAATAAAAACTGAAAAACACCAAATTCGATCGCTAAAACTATATGCAACCAACTACCACTGAGAAATGAATGTCAAAAACGAAAACTGCGGATATAAGTTGAAGTCTACCTAAACAAATTCCTGCAATTCGATAAAATAATGAAACCTGTTGTAAACGGCTGGCTTTAAGAGTCAAAAAATCACACTGTTGCTTGAGTGCAGAATTTTCGTCCTGAAGCGCTCGGACTAAATTTTGATTAGCAATCAACTGTGCTTTCAGGCTCGCAATTTCGTTTCCATCAAATGGTGGGCTGGGATGATAGACTTGTTGAGCAGATTCTGCAACTCTAAAATCTTCTTTGATTTTAAAGAGTGAAAAACAATTGCATTTATGGAAAAAGGAATGCATGATACAGGCAAAAACGTAATTCATTTTTAATCCTTATCATTATAGTAACTTCAAAATAAATTGAGAAAATAGGCACAAATAATTTTACGCATGTAAAATATATATAGCAAACTTACAAATCGTTTTTCTGGTCACTTATTGTTATAAGACACGGCTGTGAGTGACTCATGGGAGTAATTTTCTGGTGAATTTTAGCCGCTGATGGACTTGCGAAAGTCCTACAATTGTTTATCTAATTCTACAAAAGAACTACTCAGATCAAATATAACAAAAGACTGCCATGTAACATTGTAACTGCGTACATGAGTCACGACATAAAATAATGGAAAATTATAAAGCAGGAAATGAGAAAATGGTGTAGGTGATTTTATAAAAATTCAGCTGAGAAGCATTAATAAATTTTAGATATAATGATGAGATAATAAGGACATGAAAATAATATGAAGTTTTCATTATGTTATGACAATTTTAGTTCTGGAAATACATACTATTAGTAAGAACGACAATTAATAGTTAAAATAACAGATGAAAATCTCAATTCTGGAGTTGAAATATAATTTGAATTGCATATAAATCACCTACACCAATTGTATGTAAATCATTTACTTTGTTAAAAGGCAGCAGAAGTTGAAAGTTTGATCTGACCTGCAATTTTTACCACTTATCCTGAAGATTGTTGTTTGATCTTGAGCTGTAAGTGCTTCAGATGTTTTCTATTATACTACTGCCTTCTAACAAAGTAATTCCTACTCTAATACCAAACGAATTTTTAGCTACTACAAAAGCTCTGTAAATTTTTGCTACTTTTGCTATTTCTGCAATCATTTTATTACAACTTTTTTGCTACTACAAATAGAGTATCTACGATGCGTGCCTGAAAAGGAAAATATAAAGAAATAATTTGTATTCAGTACTTTATGAGTTCATGACTGGCTCGATTTGATAGTTGTTGCTGCTGCTGAAGTACATGTGACTGATATTTGCTAATCATCTGTTGTAACTTGGCGTCCTCCACTTCATTAATTTCGATATCATCCACTATAAAATAATATTCATTACATTAAAACTATAAATAGCTGTGAAATCAAACTGAGAGAAGAAAAACCATTATGTCTGTCTTAATAACAAAAAATTTAATCTTAATCATATCTTGTTTGCTAACATGATGTAACGACATACTGAGGTAGTTTTATGCTTAACGAAATTTTGATGCCAATGATTTGAAACAATATCACCTTAAGAAGCCAATATGAATACAACAAATTCATCAATAATTTTGTAGAATTGGGAAACTACAATATCCAAATAGGACAAACCAACCTTGCTGACAACTGATTTTATTATTAGAAGTGGAAATATTATGAGCCTCATGAAGTAAGGAGTTCAGTATTCGACCTTCTTGCAAGTGCATTGGACTCACGGCATGCACACGTCGATCACGTGGTTCTATAGACCAACTTCGCAGCTCTCTTCGTTCGCCATCCATCTACCTCCCAATATACAGCCTAACTTATCCGAACTAGTATGAGTCAACTTAAAGTTGAACACCCTGAAATAGTAAAATTCTTAAAAATAACTGCTGAAAACTTCTACATTCATTGTCTTACTTTTCAAAGTACCATATTTATTATGATGGAATATGAGTTTTGTTCTATTGTGATAAGGCAAATAGAATTTTTAATTATCAAAGATGAAGGCATCTAGAACGAGAATTACATCCAATTGTAGAAACTTCAAATTAATTTTCTAAATTAATAGACACAGAGTGGAAAGTTCAAAGGATTCAAAATTGTCATTGGTATTTAAAATTTTATTTGAATTTTGTTTTGGAAATTTTAGAGTCTGAAAACAAGAATTTGTGATTTTTGAACTGATGAAAAAAGTCGTAGAAAGAGGAGAAAGTAAGTGAAGAAGTGCTTCTTAAATTACACTAAATTTAAATTCATGAAATTTATAAAGTAAACAAATTACATAAAACGTGAACGATTTTACTTGTTATCCAAAGTGCTGGTATTTAATGCGGTCTGAGAATTTTTCGCATTTCAGAAGTTTCCTTTGCACGGGCACCTTGATTACTTTTTTGGGCATGTTAGATTAGCATTTGCGGGTTCTTTGGATTAACTCAATTAATGACTGCGTATTAATGACTAGCATGTTAATTATAATCAGCTCATGTAGTTGATATTTGAGAATATTTGTAGTTTGGCGATTTTATGAATTTACCTCTTTACACCAATTAATAAAAAATATCCTTTATTTACAATTTTAATTTCCTTAGTCATAAATTTTAATCAAATATTTATTTTTATTCTGAATTGGTTAAAAATTATTAGAATTTATTGATTGTTCTGTTTTGAAGGAAGTATATAATTTTGAAAGTTTATCAGATGATCACAAATCAGATTGGAATAGCTGTATTAGGTATTGCCTTGCTTTTATCATTGAGAGATATTTATGGGTATGAAAAAGATGAGAATAACGATGAAGGAACTCCTGAGAAAGAATCTAGTGATCAGGTTTGTTTTCTATTTTATCAAAGTTTAGATTTGATATTTTGATTTTATTTCTTCTTTCCAGTATTTGTTGTATGTATATTAATGATGTAAGTATTACTTTGCTTACATTTTTTATTTGATTTTAATGAGCTGCTCAAATTTTATTGTTGTATACTTTTCATCATTTTAGACAACATACGAGGAAGCATATGATGCAGATCAAGCTCGAGTAAGGCAAAAATCAGCTTATTTGAATCCACCGTCTCGTACTACTAAGCATTTGCCTAGTATCAAATTTTTATTCTGGTTATTTTTATTTTTATTATTTTAAATAGACATATGGAAAAGCTAATTTCGCATGATTTTTGAAACAGATAATTATTGTACTGTCAGTTATACTTTATCCAGCATCCACCTGCCTTCACCTCATTTTTTGTACTTGATGCGTATACTGTTTATTCATTTTTCTTAAACAATATTTTACAGCGTTTCATGTGGTTATCGGCAAAAATTCAGTGAATACAGTCATTACATACTTCAGAAATATCCTTCAATAGAAGTCCTTGGTGACAACTATTCTCCAGTAGCATGGAAGAGCTTTTTAGCAGAAGTTAGATCTTAATTTAATATTATTGGTTCACTTTATATTTGACTATATTTGTATTTGAGAAAAATATTATTGTAAACATCTTTAAATTTAAAATTTTGCAAGCATCCCATTCTACTATGTACCATTTATCTCAGAATTTTGAGGAAAATTTAATTTGATTTTAGGCTGTCAAGTTGGCTAAGGTATTATTTATTGTACTGGTAATGATGGGACGTGATCCATTCCCGTCGATTGGACAACCAACTCCGCGATTTTTCTCTTGGGCTTTGAACAATAAACTTTCATCATGCATCATGATATTTCTTCTCTCCAACACTTTAGAAAGTTGGTTTTGTAGCCTGAAAAAGTTGATCAATTTGTATTTACTGATATGAAATGATACCTCCTCTCTTTACTCATATTTTATATTTTTGCTTCAGGTTCTCTCATATCAACGGGGGCATTCGAAATTTATTTAGGAGATGAGCAGATATGGTCGAAGTTAGAGAGTGGTCGAATACCATCACCAGCAGAACTATTTCAGATTATCGACCAGCAAATGGAATTGCAGGGTGTAAAAGCAAGTTCTCGGAACTATTTAATAAACTTCTTTGCATGAAAAGCCTAAATAATTTAGGTTTTTGCTTTTTGAGTTTTTTCATTTCACTTCGTTTCAGGTCCCTGATGCATTCGCATTTGACCCATCTTAATAAGTCTTTAAAATCTGTGGTTGCCTGAGAAACTTATATGGAATGAACCGTTGAATTTGATATTCCTCAAACTAAATTTGCACATAAACACTTTTTATGTTATATTTCTATTGTGAAAAGCTTCTTACACGAAAGATTTGGTAGCAACAAAATACCTCAAAAATTGCCTTTCTGAGTTTAACATCAATATCAGAAGTAAATCCGCAGTAATTTATCTATCACATGGTCGAACGTGGGTGGCACCGAAACATCACTTTGCCTCATATATTTGGGAATTGAATAATTTCACTTATTTATTCAAATGCATACAAATCTTATTTGCATCTTACCTTTTTACCGGTGTAATATTGTGACCATTTTGCTTTTCGTATATTATTTTACCATTCACTACATAAACATCTCTTTACCAGTTATGAGTCTGAAATACGAACACAAAAAATCGTAGCACCTAAGTGAACTAACTCACCCTTCTGCCTTGGTTTCTGTTGTGCAGTTTCGATAAATTCTTGTGATGTCTTTGTGCTGATAGCTGTCAGAATTACCAAGGTATAACAAATAAGTTATAATTTAATCTAATTAGGTTTCAGTTTTGAAGTGGCATCTATATCTTACACAAATATCGGAGCTCACAGTACAGGAGAACATTTCAAGAGTGAGTTACAGATTCATAACATTTTGTAGCGATCTCTTGCATTTTGATCACGAACAAAACAATGAAAAAATAGACCCTGACTTTTAGACTTTACAATCACAATCATTTAGCATTGCAATTATAAATATCACTGACACTGACTCCCAGGACTGCTTGATTTTGTGGTTTACTCGTCAAAAAGTTCGAAAAAGCTATTTCAAAATTGAAAAACCTCAAATCTTGCAAAATTTGGCAGCCAGAAGCGATACTAATAGCGGTAGCATCATGAATTGTAACTAGTCAGAATAATCTCCACATCATTACATCAAAATTCTGTGAAGTCAAACTATGATATTTATTCTGTTTAACAACAAAGATTCCTGCGTTTAAAGGCATAACATGTAACATTAACGAGATTTCTCTGGCAAAATGGAACTAAGCGGAATAAATTTTCCAGTGCGAAGTGGATGCGGCTGACCCAATATTCAATTATATTATGAGATATGGATTTGGGATACAAAAATATCACAGCTAGAATCAGAATTTTCGAAAGTTGTTTCAGAGAATAGTGGAAACTGTTATAAAATGTAGTATTAAAGAAGCATGGGTCACCCAGAATCGTTTGATACGAAGTCGCTTGGAATGACTTCTTACATCGAAAATTTAGACAAATAAATACAATAAGACAAGGTTTGATGAAATTGACTTGAGAAAGAAACTTGATTATATAATGGAACTGCAATTAGAGCAGAAATAACAGTACTGTCGAGTATATTATGGAAGATGATTTTTACAAAAAAAGGAATGGAAGTCAGACAAAAAAAATAATGAAAGACCACTTTGCCCAACTATTTTGAATAAAGTACAATATAAAATGAGCAAGTAAAACCGCATGAGCTTTTGATTCAGACTTAAATATGTTCATGATTACCAACTACAATTTTCTTAATTGATAAAGAAAGCTACAGCACAAATATTTATTTTTTAATGATGCAATTCTACTCTGTTTTATTCGATTTTCTAGTGAAGGATGTAGATACATGAGATTGAAGCAATTTTGAGTCCAAAAAAGCTACTTTTAGTTCATTACAAAAAATCGTAAATCAAAAAATAACCTGAAATTATAGTACGTTTTAAGCATTTCATTTAATAGATACAAAAAAAGAAACTGATTAAAATGTTAGAAAAAGAAGCTTATGTTTTCATATCTTGTATTTGCTTGATGAGATAAGCTTTTTCGTCATTGAACTGCTCATCTTCTGTGCGATCGGTATGGAAATTCGTTAGAAATTCAACCAACTTTTCTTTGTTCCTCAGCAAAATATCCGCAACAGCCTTGGACTTGTTTGGATTGGCGACAAAAACCTATAAATTAATCTTAATATATTAAGAAGAAACAAAACTTCCAAGCCATTGTACAAAAAAAAGCGAGAAAAATATTGAAGCAACTAGCAGCTTTGTACCAAACACGACTATAAGTGAAGTGCTGAACCTTCTTGATGTTGCAATTTTGGCAATCTTCTTAGAAATAATCTCATATCTGAGTGAGACTAACAAAGTAAGAGTCAAAAATGTGCCTCGTGACACCAAGAATGAAAGGGTGAAATCATCAAACATTATATTAGTTTATTAAGAGCAGAAAGAACCTTGAACACATGAAAAGCTTCAAATTGTATGCTGCGACTTTTCTCTTTCAGCATATTCATCATCAGCTTTAAATTATCTGCATTGTTGATGTATTTCGTCATTATATTGAAGTTATGACGATCCAGCAATAGTTCTCCGAGCAGCTGAAATCTTAACAAAATAGCATCTCATTTAATCTAATGTTCTTTATTGTAGCTTCAGCAAATCACTAATAAATGGTTGTATCGACAAGCCTTTAAGGACTGTCTTCTCGTAACATAATTTTCTGAATTCAACAGGTTCTGGTAAGCCTTGAAAAATTCATCATATTTAGTATCCAAAAATTCAGCACAGAGAGCTTTGTGTCGTGTAACCAATTCTTTGAATGTCGAAAAAGCGTCTGATGCTATGTCAAAGGTAGAAACCTAAATCTACAAAAAGTTATCACTTCTAATGGATGCAACTGACAAACAAATCAAAAATTTTTTAATAATTCATCATGAACGCTTTACTTGAAAACAACTATACAAATCTCAAAAAAAAAATGAAGCAATGCATTTTCATTAAGTTTTTTTCGCTCATCATTATAATTAAAAGTCTAAATTTTCATCTTATTTTAAATTAACACCATGAAATTCGAAGTGTGGCTACAAGATTTAATTCAATAGTAGAAATAACATAAGCAAAATTATTAAAGTACAAAAAATTACCTCGACATAGTTAAAGAAATTGTAGAAATCTTTGCCATAAAGAACTAATTTTGCAAGATTTTCATGCCGAATACATTCTCGTAACATACTACCACATGTAACAGCTATTTCGGGGGTCTCATAACTGTAGAGAGAGAAGACATCAAACAGAATTTACGAAATTAAGTTGTAAATTGCCGTATAAAATTCGTTTAGTTATCGTAAATGCCACAATTAATGTTTAATTAATATTAATATGACATGATAATAAATTAAATTCGTCAAAACTGAATGTGCAGAAAATCGATAACTGGCTCCAAACGTGTCTGTGACAAAATCATACCCTTTTACTAACGCATCAAGAATCTGCGATCTTGTATGTACGTATTCTACAGTTGGTGACCGAGTTCCAATTTGTCGACGCAAAAGATTGTTGAAAATTTGCGCAACATCTTTCTTTGCTTCGAAATCAAGTTTTATCAAGTTTAGAATAAGCATAGGAAGAACTGAACAATTGTATGCTTCTTGAGCCAGTTGTGCTACCTGAGAACTGAGATGTTTTCTAAGACTGGAATTTTCAATTTCTTATAAAATACTTTCCCAAACTAATTCAACTTTTGCTTGAACTTATTGGAGTCAGAAAAACTGACAAATTAGAATTCAACTATAATTAAATAAAATAAACTGCTAAACAACCTTCAACTTTAAAATTTTCAAACAGCAGAACTTGTGCTTAGAAAAGAAAATGTAGAAGAATTACTGAAAATTAACCTGTTCCATATTTGGCTCCTGACCTTCTTGACCATAGATAATACATTTGATTGACTGTAATGATTTGCTCACTTCTTCAGCAACTTTTTCTGCTTTCTTGTCACCACGTTCTAATTTATCCAACTGTACTAACGAATCTTTCAAATTTTTGATAATGTCTGGTGGCGATTTGTGAGACTTGCCGAACAATGGCAAAGGCATAGCAAAAGAACAAACACTAAAAATAAAAACTTTATAAAAGTAACCAACCAAGGACATGACCGTAAAATAGAGTGCAGAAAATGTGACGTTCAAATTAAAAACATCATTTCTGAATTGCCATGAAATAAATTTTGTTGAAATTAATTTCCGCGGATCAAATACACAGAACTTCAAGTATTTAGTAAAAGCGAAGTATGATGTCCGATAACATAGATAATAAGAAAGTGCGATATTACTGAGTCAAAAAATTGGTTAAAAACTTGCGACAGTAAATCTGTGAAAAAAATTGCAAGACAATAAAAAGTTAAAATTAAATTATTTTTGAAAATTTATAATTATTTAAATTATTCTTGAAATTTTTTCCAAAAAAAGATGGAACAAATTAACCGAAAATTTAGCACCAAAACAACAAACTCGTCTTTTTTACTTCAATACTGACTTATTACTGAAGTGACAGAGCTATAATTCACTATTATTTTCACCTCGTAAAGCGGTAACTAACAACCTTCTTCTTTAAAAATTCATTCATAAAGTAGAAGATCATTGAAAATGTGAATGCCATACAAGTACATTTTTTTAACAAAAATTGATGGACTACTTCAGAATCACGATAAAAAATTGTTTTTACTACTTTTATGCAAAAGAAAGTGATATTACAAGAATTCAATATCACTTCTTTTAATCTTGTGCGTGGAATCTTTTAATCTTGTATATTTGAAGAACATGAAAAGTGATCAATTTTAAAAAAATAAAATATTAATAAGTCAAACAGTGTAAAGCGTATATTGGCTTGATGTAAAAATTTTTTAGAAATCATTTTACATGAATGATGAGGGCGGATCAATTTAAAAATTAAAGAATGAATTTGTTGGGTGAAAAAATGCAGTTTCTTGAAAAAGTAACTTTTTAAGAACTACGCATCAACCACCTCCTAGAAAAATAAAAAGTGTTTAGAAGAGGAATGAATAATTTTGGATCTAATATGCCTAAATGTAATGACGTAGAATAAGGAATATATTAAAATTAACTGCAAATATGCAAATTCGAAAAAATCAATGAAAAAGTAAGTGCTTGATTAAGCAAAACGAATTTATAAACAGCTGTAGATATTGTAATTAATAGTATTATATAAAAGTGACACTAAATAAAAATGTACCAAATTTTTAGACTGAGCAATGTAATACTTCGATAATACTTCGATTCCCCAATTGCAATTGTCGTTGAAATCTTAAAACTGATTATACTGAATACTAAAATTGGTTGAATCCATTGGAAGATATGAAATGATAATTTAAAATACTACAAATGAGAGACATATATCAGTGAATTTTCTTTCTATCACATATGACCATATGGACATTATTTAATTCCTATACCAGTACGAATGAAATAATGTCCATATTATCATTTGTACTACTTCGTATGCAAACCTCAGGTTAAGATAGAAAACTGAATAAGTGAATTTTAAAATACATTCATCAATGAATAACAAATGAAAATGTATGATATTATGAAGTTGTTTTCTTTTTAATATAAATGAATTAAAGTGAGCAAAAATGGATAAACAAAAAGCACACGATAAAATATTAATTGAAAATATAACAGCAAAATGTAAGCAAAGCACTAAACAAAATAAAATTAAAAAATTGAATATCTCATTGATCTTATTAAATTCACAAGAGTTAACACAAAAAACAAGATATTTTGTGTAAAAAAAATACCATTTGGTAAGGAATGCTATCATTTCTCCCAATGAAGTGGTATTATCAATTAATATGAGATGATGCAATGTCTCATATCGCATACCACATCTTAAATTATTTCTATTGTATTCTGTGCTACAATATTCGTAAAAATCATAACTCGAAATTGAATTATATAACAATAAATGAAGAACACTTTAATTGCTTCTGATTTATACTTAATATACTGACAAAAGAACACACAACACACATAATATTCCTTACAAAATAATCCTCACTACTGTTTACTTTTTTATGAATCACAAACACAACTAAAAACGCTTTTAACGCATTTTGAAAATACGCAAGGAATGTAAAAGGCGCAATTTTTATTGGAAATTAATATTTTCCGTAAAATTTTCTTGCGAATTACTGAATAAAACTTTTAATGCTTTTCTTTTCTTGCAAGGAGCAGATAAATGATATGAAAGAAGAATGACTCGATGTGATAGAAAATATGTGACACAAAATGTCCCTGACCTTCACCTGATGACCCTTATTTCAAACGAATGGCCCTGATCTTTTGTAGATGAAGGACACTCATTTTCTGGTATCTTATTACATGACAAGCATTATTATCAATTTCATATCTTTTTTCTTAATAATACAAATATGAATGAAGTAAGTCAATTTTCGCAAGCACCTTTGTGCAAAAAAAATAAATTTACATATTCTTATCCAAAAAACTCATAAAACACTACAAAAGCCACAAATTAAACTAAAACACAAATCATCACTACAGAGAACCACCTTATAGACGAAAATTTCAACGGCTTATCAAATACTGTCCCCTGCACCACTATGAAATATTATTTCTCTTCCTTTTCTACTCTGCAAACAGTCCTTAATGCTTCATTTTATTAACACACATAAATCTCGTATACATAATTGGTCGTTCTGTACTCTGTCGTATCCTGACTGTTTGCTTCTGGATCAGCGTGACGTGTCGTAAGAAGGTCACGTAATTAAAAAGAGAGATATAGTAATCAAGATACTCTTACCAACTGTTAAATAGAAGTTATTTTAATGACAAGTAATTTCATTCGAAATTTATAGTTATGATTTACTGAATTTGACAATTGAAAAAATGAAAAAACAACGAAGGAAATTTTTGTCACATACCAACAAATTATAATTAATTTTTCAAGTTATACGAAGTGTGTAACAAGTAAATTATTACTTCATTCTTTACTTCAAAATAATAATAATAAAATTAATAATAATGATAATAATAATAATAATAATAATAATAAATACAATAACAGCACTTAACTATGTCAACTTAAATTACAATAACTTATAAGCAGTTAATACTGACAGCTACAGTACATTTGCATAAATTAACAAAATTGCTAACTCTTACTTTCATGAAAAGTTTATTTAACTGCTTATTTGCCTTGACAGCTTTTAATTAACTCTCTTTTAATTAAGAATTGAGTAATTTTACTTTGATTATTTTCATGAGTACTGTTTTATTTTACTTTGGTTGTTTTGATATTTTTTGCATTTTTATCTTCAGTCTTTTCTTTATGTGCTTTAGCAGTAAGAGCATTCTTGAGAAGTTTTGGCTTCAGTAAATTTTCTAATTCTGTAATTGCTTCCATTGTTTTGTCTGCAAGGAATTTGTATTGTGGCGTCAGATTTCGATTTGCTGTCATCAAATACGTATTAATTTCATAAAATTGTTGTGGAGCTCGTCGTAGCAAAATATGTGCTGGACAGTATATTGTTTTCAGGTAATTGAAGATCTAAATAATACATTAAATATAGATCAAAATGTGTTATGAATTATATCATTAAATATAGATCAAAATGTGTTATGAATTATCAGTTATTTTTTTCTTCATTCATGAATTTGAATTTGAAGCAAGATATTTTCAGAAGGCACAAATATCAACAGCAATAACAGTGGGATTTGCAAAATTACTCGATTACTCTGCCGATAAGTCCAAGGTAAAGGTTGTGTAATGCTTGAAGCAGGGTCATATAGCTCACATGCCACATACATCCAAGCGATTAAGTCGTCGAAACGATTTTGTTCTCGACCTTTTGATGCCCAACCACTTGCCCATTCTGGAGTACCACGAAATGGACATGTAGTCCGAGGTACTCGGCACTAAATTATCTCAGTCTGAGCTATCTAATACTAAATTATTTAAAGTTATCTTTATTGCAGGTTGGAATTAATCTCTGCTTAAAAAATAAAAAAGTGTCTGTGAAAATAAACTTTTTATAGATATGGAATAAATTGCTTTATAGATATGGGATAAAAATTGTGTAATAATTAGTTTCTCATTAGAACAAAATAGCAAAATAGCCTAGCAGAAATTGCAGTCAATCCGATGTTAATCAAAATTAAAAACTATTGCTATTTTTGCTATTTATATTTTACCAGTATTATATCTTTCTCAAAATTATATTACACTTTTTATTATAATTAAATGCTACCAAATATAAATTACATAATAAAATGCTACCAAATATAAATTGCATAATAAAATGCTACCAAATGTAAATTGCATAATAAAATGCTACCAAATGTAAATTACTATTGAGTTGAAAGTGACTTTGATTTACCTCTCCGTCCTCGTCGGTATACATCCTCGTCATGCCTAAGTCGAATAATACAACAATAGGTTGCTTCATACTTAAAATTCCCATATTATCAGGTTTAAGATCGCGATGTAATAAACCTTCGCGGTGCATGTCGTGAATTCCTGGAAGAGAAAGTGAAAACAGTTTAAGGATTTTTCTAAATGATGCTTGCAGTTCTACACTTGCATCAGTTTGAAATGTGAAAAGAATCATTTAATCCTTTTTTGGTGAAACTGACTTTTTTATTGCAAAAGTGTATTCAGATGGCAACCTTTCAGCATTTGAAGAGCGGCTCGAGTTACGGCCAATTTCCTTTCCAAACCATTGAACTACAAGTTTTGCTCTGATTTACTATCACGTATAAAACATAAACCATAACTTTGAAGATTAAATTGTGACTAATTCAATTTCATCTTTTTAATTAAATTAAATCATTGTAGCTCACAGTTTGAAAATGTGGACTGTAAAAAATTGTATAAAGTTATTCAAATACATAGAATCACTGGAAAAATTGTATCAGTGTGATTCTGAATTGTGTAATTAAAGCAAAATTCAGAAATTTCTTTATCATTTTGTCTACAAAGTAATAAATGAATAAGATTTTAATTAAATTTCTGAGATGTAAAGATTTCAACTTTGGATAGCCACTCCATAATTCCGAATTGTGCCTTCTCAAGTACCATAAACTCCATGCCTTCACCGTTCTGGTCAGCTAGCATACCTTTATCCAACAGTCGCACAATGCTAGCGTTTGGGTTCTATACAACTTTACTTTTATTTTCTCTAATAAATAGTAAAAACAAAAAGGTACATTGTTTATTGATAGGTAGCATTTTTTAATTAAAATCAAACTTGACAGGTTATTTTCTTTTTTGTTCATAATTATCAACCAATCTTTAGCAAGACAAGTTAAGGTATAAAATCTAAATTCTTCAACAACAGCTGAAGCTATTTCCAAATTATGCAAATACCACTGCTCAGTATAGAGTTAGTTATGTTTTATACTTTACGTATCATTAAAATATACGTACTGCCGTATAAATTAGATAATATTTGTAATAGGTTTAGATTATAAGAAATAATAATTAATAAAGTAATAATAAATGTTACGTTTTTGTAAATTTTTTCAAGAATAAATCCTTCCCATTCAGCAGTTTGATTGCCTGCATCATTGCCCACTGCTTTTGCAACTTTTATTACGCCTTCTACGCCAGTTTCTACGTCACATACGGCAAATACCACGCCATATGTGCCTTCATTAATTGTTTCTGTTACCTTACAAAAATTGTTTACATAAGTAATACAAATTTTCACCTTCACCTTGACAAATTTTGCAAAAATTTATGAAATTAATTATAATGCGAACCTGCCAACGTCTATTAAACGGAGCAATTGAGCGTAAGTGCTCTGCGAGTGCATGCCTTTGATCATCTTCTTTAGTATTTCCCTCAATTTTGATATTTTTTAATAAAATTTTCAAATTATAGCAGTTATAATGTTGAATATTTTTCATAAAGTTGTTTTTATTTCAAACATTTACGAAAAAAAAATGAATTATTCACCAATTCCGTATTCTGTGATTTGTGCTTCGTTGACTTTGTTGTTGACTTTGACTTTTGTGCACTAGTTTGTGTTGTTCTCTTCTCCAGATTCTTGATTACTCTGCTACAGCTTAACTGAAGCTTATGGATTATGCACAGATGAATGACACAGTATGCATAGAAGATAATAATTCAAGCGTATAAGAATCTGCACGAATATTATTCATAAAATCTCATCACAAGAACTTATCATTACAAATCAATCTAGTTTAACACACATTAATTCAGTCAATTAAAAAGCAAAAATGAATGATTAATGTGAGATAAATGTACTTCTAATGGAATCTATCATAAAGTAATATTGATAATACTTATGTATTTATAAACTTTTAGTGCATTTTCAAAGCACACATATCTATCTAACTTGGTAAGTAGCAAGTTTTCTTTCCATGTGATTCAGAAGGCGACTTTCACGTTTCAATTTCCTCTCCATGTCCTCATTTTTTGAAAATTTGATGGGAAATGCATTTTTAATGGTAGCCATAAAGGACACGTGTGGTGTTTTTTTCGTACTGTCCCGTGTTGAACCGTCACCACTTTTCGCGGGACTTGCTGCTAATTTCCTGGTTGCTTTTTCTTTTAACTGTCTATAATTTTTTTTTCGTACTAATTTGAAAAAATATTCACGTTTTCACTTGCGTAATTTTAATTCAGTAAATTTCACTTCAGCAATTCAGTAAGCTTCACTAAAATAGTGAAATACTTGAAGTAACTTTTGTACGTAAATTGCAATATTTGAAAACAAATGTTATAATAATGTTTGTATACTCACATTGATATGAGAATCATATTGAAACGAGATTTATATTGATATGAGAATCATATTGTTATAAGAATAACTAACTTCTATATATGTATTACAGGATTAGTGTGTGAGATTAAATAGTAAACGTAAAAAGCTGTGACATTTTTTAAGAAAATTATAAATTCCATGCATTTGAGAGATCTTGCAATTGAATCGCAAATGAATGCAAATTAATAAATGTCAAAAGCTTTCAATGTTTTTGTAAGAAAAAGTTGCGCAAAAGTTGAACTTTTGACCTTTTAATTAAATTTAAATTTTTGATAAATTAGCAAAATTTTAAGTACTTTTTTCCCTGATCTTCTTCTAAATTAGCTGGCATTTTTAATTGAATTTTTCTTTGCTATCAAATGGCTAAAAAAGTTATACACTAATTCAAGTAATTTAAGCATCTTGCAAAATTATCAAATATTAATTTTTCATATGATAGTGCCTTTATAACTTATATACTTCAAATAAAAATTCTGACGCTTATAAAATAGAAAAATTGTCAATAAAAGGGAACTGCACCAAAATTTTCAGTGTTTTAAGCAATGAGCCCTTCTCAGTAACCTTTTTATAATGACCTTTTGACCTATTGTCTTGATCTAATCTCGATTTTTACTTTGCTCCTGCAAGAATGGTTTTACTATAAATTATTCTCTAATATTTTTGCTTTTGCTGAATTACTTAGAGCTTGTAATTTCTTCAAAGTCTTACTTTGTCTTCTGATCAGTGGGATTAATATTTTTGGAAGACTTACTTAATCAATGGGATTTATATTTTTGACTGAAAAGTTCAAACAACCGACTATACAAGCATTTACAAAAATTATTGGCAAATTATTCAATTTTGACTGTATTTATTTTCAAATATTATTATTTAAGTGAAAAAAATTTTCCTAAATTATTTATTCAAAAAGTAATTTGTTCAATTTTATCTGTTCGCCATTGTAAATGCAAATTAATTTTCATGGCATCTGTAAAAATCTTTATAAATCAAATCTTTGTTTGAATGATTACTTTATATCGTTATTATAAATTATTCGAAATGATTTATCAAAATAATAATATTTGAAAATAAATACTGATATTTGAATTACTTAACATTAACTTATTACTCAAAACAATGAAAAGAACTAATAAATGAAACAATTTAAATTTATATTTTCTAATTTGGTATTTTAAAATTTAATTTCTGTCTCGAACTAGTCTACAGAAATAGCGGACTGCTTGAATTTGAAAGAAATATAAGACATAAATTGGAATAAATGTAAGACTAATCCACTAAACGACATGTTTGCATGTTGTCCATAGCAACAATTGACTATGTACAAACTTGCTAGCTTTATACTTTTTAGCTTCAATTTGCCCACTATTTTTGCTAATTACTGTATAAAATCAGTTTTCTTGCATTCACTTCAGTCTCTAAATCCATCAAGCGAATTATTTTGTATTGTACAACAAAATGGTTAGTCGTTTAATTAAATTTTTGATTGAATCAATTGATAATATCAAATCATAGAGATCATTTTTTGCATGCAATCAATTTCACCTAGTGAATAAGAATAAGAATACTATAGTATAAATATATGCTCAGTAAAAAAGCTAAATGGATGAAATTTGCATAAATTTTATTGCTAATAAAAAATTATATTCGTTCACTTTCTATTTATACATATATGGTATGTAGCCAAGTAACTCTATAAATTATTTTTCATATCTAAAAATTTTACAGATATTAAAAGGACAAAGGTCACGCCATTTGAAACAGTAAGTCAGTTTCGAAAATTTCTACCCTCGAAAGAAGTTGTGCCTTTTTTACAAGTAAGTCCCAAAGTGATATTTTTAGTGAATTTTAGATTATTCAAATTCTTCTAATAATTTTAGATATTTAATTCTGTAGTAATTCAGACTTAGACTAATTCATTTCAATCACTGAAATAAGCTGTAAAGTAATAATGACTTATGTAGCAAATTTTACTCTGTCATAATTAATTTGTAACACACACAAACTTTTCGTCAACTTTTGACTTACTTGAAGTATAATTATTAAAGTATATAATTTAAATTTTATAAAAGATAAGTTCAGGAAGAAACTGTGGAAGTTTGGGATGATAAAGTAACTTCAAATTTTGAATATCCAACTGCAGTATTTTCAAATGATTGTTCTGGAAGTGCACCGCTTCGTTAGTCACTCTTTAATTAATTCATTTTTGCAAAAAAACATGATTTGATTAATCAATTAATTAATTAATTAGTTTGCTATTTAATAATATTTATTCATTTTATATGCAGTAGAAAAAAGTTATACAAAAGTAATAAACTGTAAGATTGAAAGGTTAATCTTGGATTAATCTTTTCAAGGAATTAGATTAATTTTGTAGCATACTGATGCTTTTATCAATACATTCTAACTTTTAGCATTGCTAAAAAATATAAGCATAATATGCTCACCTATATGGCATGAATTTGATGAAGAAAACTGTATCAGCTTGAAGTATCTGAATGTCAGCTATTATCTACACAAGTATTCATCAGGAGTAAGTAGTTAACAACTTTTCAAATTTAATTTTAAAATCTTTTATGGTCAAAATTGGTAGCATTACACTGCTGAAGAGTTTGTAAAACTGTCGCTATGAACATTGTCAATAATTATATTTGAGTTTTCAGCTGAATCTTACACTGATGATTTCTTAACATAATAAATTTGCATACTAAAAGGCTATTCTAGCAAAAATGTTTTTGCAAGAGCGATTATTTTTTGAAAATTCAACTGATAGTACTCTTTACTTTTTTAACTTTCAAATTTTGCATAATCTTGAAAGTAATTTTTGTACAACAATTACTGCCAGAATAAATTGAAAATTAAATAAGCTGTAAGTATTTTTAATCAAGTTATGCAAGTATTTTTCACTTTAGAAGGGTCAAAACAGGTCAGTGGTTGCATTAGAAGGTGATCCCGAGGGAAATGATCTGATCCGTTGGCTTTATTGGAATGGAACAGCGTGTATCAATGCAATTTCCATGGTACATTAATGCCTGCCAACTATATACTTTTACCTTGTTCAAATCCGAAATTTCATTCATCTTCAGTATTCAAATGTTCTAAGATATTCATAGAATTCATCAATTCATACTGTTCAATATTAAATATTTAAAATTACTGTACTTTAACAATATTAGTATTGATACTGATAACAATAATAATGATAATAATGATGTGAGAGATTGTGTGCAGTATGTATTTTAAAGATTGTGTACAGTATGTATTTTAAATACAGTATATATTTTAAATATTTCCGATATATATCTTAATTTATGTATTCAAAACTGTAAAAGTATTATTATAGGTCATGATTAAATTCTTTGTTCGCGATGGATTACTCGAAGACATTACGGCAAGTGTAGAGTACTCCAATATTACTGATTACAATTATTTACATCAACTTTATCACTTTGATGCCATTTTTGTTGACCTTTCGATTAATTCGGACTTTCAAGATATACAGAAACCAGTAGGTTATGATATTGGACAAAACATTAGGATATATATCGAAAACATTACAAACAGTTTGTTTTTGATTCCACTGGGTACGAGTTGTGAGGAAAAGAATAGTCATGGATTATCAGTCAAGTTCGGAGTTCACATTAGCAGCTCATGTCAAATAAAGTAAGTTTAGGTCAATGAATTGCTTAAATTATTAGCTCAGAGTTTTCAGTTTTAACTTTTGTTTGCTAATTATTAATTTGCAAAATTTATCCTCACAAAAGATTTCATTTTAATTCTGTACAAGATAAAGCCTACATTGAAAAAAGCAAACTTTAAATATAAACTTATTGCCCCAAAATAATGATTGCAGAATCAGCACATGCGCCCAAATATCTCGTCAAATTCGCAGCTTGCTTAATCACTGGAAAACTTTAACAATTCGAAGTTTACCTTCCGGAAGTACAGATGACTTAATTAATGCTCAATTTGATGGACTACCACCAGAAATAGTATTATAAGCTTAATATTATTTAATTAAGTATCAAAATATTTGACTTCGAAGATTTTTTAGCTATTAAAAAAAATTAGTTAATTTGTTATTAGAAATTATGATTTTTCCTACCTTATGGCTATAATTACGAAAAAAACCCAAAAAACCAAAAACACAAATAGCAATTTTCCCCTCAGTCTATTGTATTCTCAGTATTAATTATAGCTAGATTTCTCTGAATAGCACAAGAAGACATTTTTTTGAAAGAAATTTTCGCAGTAATACTGAAAACATGACTGATTCACAGGAACTAGTTTGAATCTATTACTTCTAATTTTGTTTTGATAGTTTCAAACTGATTCCCAATTTGAATACTTCTGATTCTCAATTTGAATACTTTCAGAGGCAAGTAGATGATAAAAGCTGTGAGCTGATAACTGCAGCATCAATTCAACTTTCATATATTCGTATTGGTAATGTTCAAGCATATTCTCATCAATTAATTTCATATAAAATTGAGTTAAATAAGCCAAATTTAGTTAATTTAAGTCAATATCCTTATAATTATGTATATTTTAATTTTATAATCTATTTCATGGATCAAAGCGTAGAGCCAACTGAAATCTTTGCACAGCCTCCCACTTTGAATTTTGCTTTGCCAGCAGATTTCTTCTATCCACTATTTCAAAAAACTTATACTTAATTGTATTCACTTGATAAATAATGCACAAAAGTAATCAGAATGTTTTTACTATCTAAAAATGATCTATAATTGACCTCAAAATATTTGCAAATGATTTATGCAAAATTAGCAATTTTTGCTTTTGATTCATTTATAGTATTTATAATATTAGTATTCTTCAATGATATTTACTGCCAAATAATATTACTTATGCAAAGTTCAAACAAAGTTTACTTTTGCTTTGCTAATTACTTTCAAAAATTTCTTATTATAAATACTTTTATCATGAAAAAAGCAAGTAAATCAGCAAATATAAAAAGAGTTATTATAATTAATTAGCAAAATTAAAAAGATTGATTTAAAAAGATTCATTAAAATACAAATAACATTTCATTTTGTTTATTTTCTAGTTGTTATATGTATTTTTTGTATTAATAAACATTCTGTGAACAACCAATAAACAGAAAAAACAATTATTTTGTTACACACAAGATAACGTAAACGCGTCTGATTCACGTTTAACTCACGTTCAAAAATAATGCAAAGTATCAAGAAGAATCTTCGTCAATGTTTTATTACCTGTTCTATTTAAAATTTTGTTGTTTATGAAAAAGAAAAACCGAGAAACGATAGACTTTCAATTTACATTGTAATGAATCACTTATACAGCGCATTTTCTTCTGTCATAAAAATTACAAATGAAATAAAACTTAAATCTTAATTGTTCGCAGATTCTGGCACAAATACTACCAATACAAATACAAAGTAAAAAAAGAAAAATAATGATAATAATAATGGTGATGATGATGATGATGATAATAATAATAATGATAATAATGAGATAATAATAATGATTGATAATAATAGAAGAGATGAAATAGTAATTTTTGCTCATATTATCATGAATTGAAGAGCAATTAAGATGGCGTCAATTTGAGATGAAAAAAATTGAAGGGCGAAAATATATTTTAGTATAAAAGAGAATAAAGTATAAGAAAACCTGAATTTCTGGTATAATAATGAGAATAAAACATGTGCGAAAAAATAAATATATACATATATAAATATATAAGTGAAAAAATAGCAAAAGATGACTGCGCAGTTAGTGATATTCTTAACTTGCGTCTTATTAATTGTATATCGCAAGGCTTAATTATTTCATTTGTATTTTGCAGTAATCATTTTACGATGTCGCAAAACTTTGCAAGAAAATTTGGTTAGTTTTTTTTTTTTTTTTTTGT